GTGTTTTTTTTTCTTGCAGATTCTTTCAGATTATTAGATACTTAGATTGTTACTATATGATAGTTAGGCGTAAACCAAAAACTGTTTAGGTAAGGGGCTAAATGGACCAGTTTCCAGTGCTCCTATAAGAAGTAACAAGAAGAAGAAGAAGGAAGAAGTTGAATTCGTTCGTCTTGTTCAGTACTCAGCAGTCTGGATTCCGTTACGGGTTCTGCTGTCGGATGGACGTGTGTCTATAGCTGTTCAGTTCTTAAGGTATTCGACGCAATTTGCTCGCTTTCCCCAACAATTTGAGGTGACTGGACATCCGATAATTGCTTCACTGTGGGCCTTATTTGTACAGGGTGTTTCAGAATTAAGTAACCCTTTTAATTTGTTAATAAATAAAAAACTAAAAAGGTTATGAAGTTGATTAGTTGAAACTTGTTTTATTTAAAAGAAGAACATTTTCAAGGTAATATTGTATCCTAGTTTTTAAATATAATATCTTTTAAATGCCCACCACAATTGTTTAGACAAAATAGGGCTCTTCTCTTCGTTGCTTTCATAACCTTCATTAGTGTTTCTGGCAAGAGTGCAAATTTTTGATATCTGCAAATTTTCGATAAAGAGATTTAATTGTGTTTTTTTAAGAATCCTTGTTTTGAAATGGATCCTGTGTAATCATGTTGAACTTCTGTTATTGACATCGTCCTGATGTAGGACTGTAGGTTTGCAAAATTTTTGTTCTTTCTTCTTTGCTGTACCTAGCAAATCATGAAAATTTAAGGCTTGATAATTAAACACAAATTTAGCAAGCTATACAGGATAATGACGTAACTATGATACAATATTACCATGAAAATGTTCTTGTTGAAATACAATACCATGATACAATATTACCATGATACAATATTACCATGAAAATGTTCTGAAGTTGAAACAAGTTTCAACTTCATAATGTTCTTAGTTTTTATTTATTAACAAATTAAAAGGGTTACTACTTACTTAATTCTGAAACACCCTGGGGTGAACCAGAATTAAGTAACCCTTTTAATTTGTTAATAAATAAAAAACTAAGAACGTTATGAAGTTGAAACTTGTTTTATTTAAAAGAAAGAAGAACATTTTTATGGTAATATTGTATACTAGTTTTTAAATATAATATATTTTAAATGCCCACCACAATTGTTTTGACAAAATAGGGCTCTTCTCTTCGTTGCTTTCATAACCTTCATTAGTAATTTCCCGGTATCCGCAAATTTTCGATAAAGAGATTTAATTGTTTTTTTTTTTTTTTTTGAAGGACTGATTCTGTCTCTTATACACATCTAGNTTCTTGCAAACCGATTGTTGCATCCAGTCGCTTATATTGAAAATAAAATGATTTAAGCAAGTATTTCTTGCATCAGAGATAATTAAAAGTTTGCTAATGTTAACAGCATTATAATACATGCAGAAACGTACATTTTTTTATAGATATTAAAAATTTAGGCTCTATGACTTGTATACTATGTCTATTATAGTCTATTGGATTTTGAATTGATGCATGCATTCAAATTCAAATTAGGTCCGCCCACGCTCCACGGCCAGTGTAGCTGTCAGCTCACCTTCTTCAGAAGTGTGAAAGCTTTTGCCGGTGTGTTTTACGATCGGTCCGTAAAGAAGCCTTGATCGGTTCAAAATGACATAAGAACAGGTTCTTTTGAATAACCTATGGATTGGCACCATGTTCCTACGGTCAAGAAGCGCGAACGTAATCCTGACACACTTGTAAAGTTGTAAGTAGTGATGAGGACTCTGAAGTCTGAAGTCTTATAGAATCCAAAAAGAGTTGCAAAATGTGCCTCAGGCTCTTGCGTGCTGGAGAGTTTTCTCAGATTGGATAGCATTGGAATTATAGAACCACATCTTGAGAGGCCAAGTGATGAAATGCTAGTAAACAAGAAGCATGTTCAACTTTCAAGTAACCTAAACCACTAACGCAACTTGGCAACTCCTTAGTCAAGGCAAGGGACTCACTGTCTTGATCAAACCAGTGGGCCAAAATGCTAGGGTAAACGCTCAAGCTAAGACCAACTTGCACCAGGCTGTAACTGTGACTGGAGTTGACGGCAGCATATAAGGCTGTGACGGAATTGAACAACGGAGCGGGTATATTCCGACATCATGGGTAATTCCAACACCTCTCTAGTTTTTCCTTCATATTAAGCTTTGTTTTCATTCCATGCTTTTGTTGATGGTTGAAATAGTGACGTCATACATTTGCACGTCAAACCTACTGCCAAAACACTAGGTCTGGGCCATCTAGCGGGAAAATGTTGAGATCCAAAGAGAGACGGTGCATGCCACCCAATGAGATCATCGAAAAATGTGTCAAAGTTGACAGTTGAAACTTGACCTTGCTCTACCAAATAAGGATAAACTGTTTGTTTAGAAAGAATATTATGGTTTGAGACTTTTAAAATACGTCTGTGAATATATTAGAAATCCTCTAAGTATACTTGTATTTGCTGATTTCAAGTGGTATATAAATTAATAGATGATTAAGTTGAGAAATGGATTTAGACACATAAAAACTAATTCTGACACAACTTGAATTGGACAAACACAGCTCGTTCCAAGCTGTGTGCAAAAATTAAAATTTTCTTAATTAAATGCTTAATAACTGTTAATTAAAAGCCTAATTAAGTAGTGCTCAATATTCAATAGTGTTCTAATTCGTAGCCGTGTTGTATTCCAATCAGGGTTGGCAATGATTAAATCAAAATGATTAAATCATGTGATTAAATCACTTGATTTTTTTATAAAAAAATCATGATTTTTTTTGATTTTTTCGATTTTTTTGATTTATTTGATTTTTTCATATATTTAAATATATTGAGTGGCAGTCTTTAATTTATATTGAGGTATTGTTATTCATGGTTTAGCATAAATGTACTATGAATGACAAATTNCTCCATACAAACTTTACAAAGCTAATGAATAGACTTATCAATAATTGTTTACCCAAGAATCCCTAAGTGGTAAACACCACCTTGGCCTGTTGGCCATTATTGGAGGCAATAAGTGCCCTTTTTAGCCATCCATTATGATCCATATACTGTTATTGTTAGTTGGCTAATTGCGACATAAAAAAAAAACACCTCAAAAAAGACAAAAAAGCTGAAAAAATCAAAAAAATCAAATAAATCAAAAAAATCATGAAAAAATAAAAAAAATCATTGATTTTTGATTTTTTTGATTTTTTTAAAAAAATCAAAAAAATTGCCAACCTTGATTCCAATACAGCTCACACAGCAATAGGAATTCAAACACGTGGATGTCGGAATTACGTATTAGTACAATTTGAAGCGCAGTCGGAATACGTCTCACCATGTGCCAAATATAGTCGCACACAGTGTCGAAATATAGGGATTTGGTAGGTTTGCATTCTAAATGCTTTTAAATAAATATGGCAATATTTTGTGACGTTTCATTGTTGCTGGAGCGTCGTGCGGTGTTTTGAGAGTCACATAAAGCAAACAGAACTCAAGTAACGCATACGTTTTTTTTATAGTTTTTCATTTCTCGATGCGTCCTTAATGTGTCGGAATATACTGCGTTTACCCTAGCTCATTTCTCCAAAATCCGGTGAAGTTGGCTCGTGGCCTTAGGGACTCTGCCTATGGCAGGTATCCAGAAATGAAGGTGAGGACAAACCCAAGAAGGAACTTGTTGGTAGTGGAGTTTGCATCTCTAACTTGGAACTGGGCACTCTTTTCAAAGTCACAAAAATAGGGACATGGGACATGGCAAGTTACCTGTTTTCAACCTGGTACTGACACTTGCATAAGTGGAGTGATAGGGCCAATCCACCATCAGTCTTGGTCTCAGAACTTCTGGAGTCAGCCAAGGCAGGCTTCGTGAAGATCAGAGAGATGGTGCGTCTCCCAAGCCACTGCCAGCCTGCCAGGGTATACGTGCAGAGTCTTCTGCAGTGAAGGTGATCTTTGAGGGAAGGGGGCTCCCCAAAGCTGTCAACATAGACTACTTGCAATATCCAGTGAGACCTTTTGTTATGGCCCCACTTAGGTGTTACAAGTGCCAGCAGATGAATCACATTGCAAGTGGGTGCACTGGCCCAAGGAGATGCTTATTGTGTGCTGGACCCCATGATAAGTCAGAGTGCCCTAGTAGTAGCAGCTCAAAATGCTTGTGTGCTAATTGTGAAGGTCCACATTCTGCCAGTGGTCGCAAATGTCCAGTCATGAATGATGGGTGCCAGGGCAGTTGAGAAGCTCCGTGCCGCAGGGCTCTCTTATGCAGATGCTGCCAAGAAAGTAAGACATGCTCCAGTGTAATGGGTCGTCTTTATTAGTTAAGCAAGGGAAGGTATTCAAGGTTCTTTAAGATCTAAAAGGTTAAATAAAAGATGGCCTCCCAACTCCCCTTATAGCCATCCCTGTCCATCAGGTGTTTATATCTTTTTTGTTCAACTTTATTTAATTCTAATACAAAACTTCATTATTAAGGGACTTAAAATTTAAACCTAAGAGAAAGCTCTAAAACAAAAGCCTAACCAAATAACTGGATAACCAGATAATGGGAAACCTGACAACTGGCAACCAGGCAACTATACAACTGGACAAACGGGGCATGGGTCGCTCATGAAAGTGCTTGAAGATGCTTCTGTAAAATATTTACATTATCAACACCTAACACACTATTATTAAACACAACATCAATACAAACTTCAAACATATATACACAATAAACTATCAAGCAGGATAACAGATAAATATATTTCTCATCTATAACGGTATTCTCAAAACACAACATTAAAATCTTCATCAATGAATATATGAGCAGTGATTAAAAAAGGTATATTTTGGCAACTACCATACTCACCAACCACAGGCAGTAGTGTGAGTATAGGGTATCAACTGATAGGAGATTTGGAATTCGAATCACCACTGACACATAAAATAATGGTCTGCAAAAAGGGCAAAGAGAATGAGATGGAGAGCACTGATAACACAAATATTGATGTTTACCATGAATTTCAAGATTCTAAAAACAACTCTACATTAACTCGGAACTGGGGGAGTGTTACTTCCCCAAGTGGGATCAAGGTTACCACCACTCTCCAGCAGTAAGAGTGACAGCCCATAACACCAGTGGTGGTGGAGGTGGCCAGAGGCAATTCTTCAATGCATGCTGCCATCAACAAGACACCACAAACCAATGCCAGCAAAATTTCTCCCATAGAGAAACATAGCCTTCAAACATCATAT